GTGCCTTTTAAGAGTAGTTAAAAAACTAAATTATAATGGTTATCCAGTACATAGTGGCGTACTGGTTAGCACTTCTGCCTTGTCCCTGGTTTGAATCCTGACCAGGTCACTAGCCTACAAGGAGTTTGCATGTTCTCTCTGTGCTTGTGTGGGTACTACGTTTTCCTCCCACACTCCAGCTCCACTCCAGCATGGTAGGTAAAATTGGCGTATGTATGATGATGGTCCCCTTAAGGTGCCCACACACCGTGCGATAATTGCAGGAAATCCCGCGATCGTACGATCATCGCAAGGTGTGTGGAAGGCGTGCAACTGTTTTTTTATGTATGGTCGCTCGACTTTTATCTTAGGAACATGTTCGAAAACCCGCCGAGAATCGTACGATTTTCGGTGGGTGTGTGGCATGTTCGTAAGATAAATGCCGCACGGGCCGGTGTGCGCAAGCTCACACTGCCTGTTCAGCATTGCGGTCATCGGAAACAGCCCGCCCCTCAGCAGGGCATGCTTGTGATCATCGCAAGTATGATCTGCCTGTCCAAGATAGGCAGATCGTACGTTTTTTAAAATTACCTTACAACCATCACAAGACAAAAGTCTTGCGATGGTTGTAAGGTCTGTGGCCAGCATTAGATTATAAGATCCTTAAGGGCAGGGGCTGATGTGAATGTGCACTGTGTAAATTGCTGGCGCTAGATGGCTACCAAAAATTGCTGTTTTTTTTTTTTTTTTTTTACAGGAGGTTAGAAACAATGGCATCCATTTTTGTGAAAAGTTTACTTTTAAATCGGATATTTAAAATTGAAACTTTTAAAAGTAAACTTGCTAGGTACAGGGGGCCTGACGTGTAACTTCAAGTATAAATAAAGGCAAAGTCCTTCTTGAGGGTAAATCCAAAATGTTAAGTTGCCACCAGAACAGGAATATGGGGAACATTTTTCACTCGTGTGACATCTGTCTAAAGGTGCCCATACACCTTACAATGACCACAGAAAATCTGCAGATAAGATGGAAAAAGTGCAACAGATTGGCCCAGGTAGAGATTACTCCATGCACACAGTTAAGTGTAGATGGAGGAATCTGTTGCACCTTTTTCCATAGGAACAGATGGCCACAAAAACCTGACATTGGTTTTAACCCTTCCTATGGGTTTAGATGTTTATCAGTGCCTCTAGCAGGGACCCACTGACTTGTGGTTGGCATGTTATTGATTATAGCTAAATGGTATATTGATAATTTAGGGAATGGCTGGAAGAGAAAGTATTTGGTGGCCGGTCAGATGGATCTGGCAAAGTCTTTTTTATTTTCTACTGCATCGCTGCCTTTTTTGCTGTACATGAGTGACCAAGCTAGTCTGAAAACGAATCTTCTTCCTTTTTTTT